ATGTTGCTTGGGATATGATTATGGATACCAATGTATGCTGAAAACCAGGCTTGCTTCCACTCACTTGCTATAAAAACATGATTTTCTGAATTTTGAAATCATTAGATGTTATAATCATATTTTGTACTTGTCAGATACAAGAAGAGGTTGAAATGCAGGTGTTTGACACATGAAACCTGTCAAATTCGTTTTAAGATAGTCACAATCAGCGATTTTACGACTCGCGAGCGCTCACTCTGAGTGAACGCTCACGAATCATAAAATCGCTTATTGTAACACTCTGGCAGCGAAATTGACAGGTTTTAAGAGTCAAACACTTGCCTTTCACCCTCTTCTTGTATCTAACAAGTACAAAACATCAAACATCGAATGATTTCAAAATTCAGAAAATCATTTTTTTATAGAAAGTGAGTGGAAGCAACCCTGCTGAAAACATGAAGATGCATTTTAAAATCGAGAAATTGGTGCAGTTTCCAAGATTTTCAGTGTAAGTCCGTCATCATGTTTCCTATATTTGGACTACATCAAGTATTTTCTAAAATTGAAATAACAGATGTCGTATGATAAAAAGTGAACTATAAATATGTCTGCATATTTAACCATTCGGTTTACTGACCCATTCTACCCAGTAGCTTTCGGCCTAATGGACCATCACCTGTTGCCGAAACGTTTGTGCTTGGCTAAGAGGAACAGGAGACAATACGGGGGCGAACACGAACCACTTTTCTGTCAAACGCGAACCAGCTCGTGATTGGCCGATTTGAAGTGCGTAAGATAGATGTATAGAGATAGATATAGATAGATATAGAGATATAGATAAAAGAGTAAGAAGCCAGTTGTCTCCTCTTCCTATTAGGTGCTTGGTGAAAGTGTCAGTCACGCAAAATTAAACGGAGCCCGTCTGCCTAATGCAGAATGCATACAATTTGTATAGGTTGGACGGATTCTGAGTCCATTTATGGGTGGAAAAGTTTCAACCCTGCAGAATTGAATTGCAAGGTTGCAAATGAAGGGTACGCGAACCGTCATCCATGTAAACGTGTTTGTCAGAGTTCATTGAAGTTAAGTTACGAGTTATAGAAACGTTTGTGCTTGGTAACAAAAGAGATGTGAGCTCTCGCATTGTTTTCGATCGAGCGTGATCTATTGTTTGGTTGGTGTGATGAGGCAGGCTTTTGGTTATTGTTCTTAAAAGAAAAGATACCGCGAATACGATCAAATGCAGTGCTTGGTATGGCAAATGGATTGAAGTGAATGACCGGAAGCGTTGATAAAAGTGCCAGTCACATATACAATTTGTACAGGTTGGAAGGATTCTGAGCCCGTTTATGGCTGAAAAAGCTTCAGTCCTGCAGAAATGTATTGCAAGGTTGCAAATGAAGGGTACGCAATCGTCATCCGTGTGGTTGTGAGTTCACGTCGATCGTGCTAGAACGTGTTTGTCAGAGTTCATTGAAGTTTAGAGCCGTTCAATCCCGTGTAGTGTAGCGACAGTAATATTGATAATAATTCAATGATAGAATTGTTATACCAAATTTATGAACTCGCACCATTGGACATCGATCATTAATATATTAAGTGAGTTAGTTCCAATTGAAAAAAAAACCTCACAGTATAAATCCGGAAATTTCCGTGTAGCTGTTTTTAAAGAAAACTTCTATGCTGGCACAATTTTAATGGATGAATTTCTAAGGTCTTGGCTGTGGATTGATCGGATGTTCTCGATATGTTGGTGTAGTTTTGGGTGTCATTCGCTGATTGTGTGTGAGGATTTAGCAATTTTAGGAAACCAGCTCTTGCTTAGGGGCATCTTACTCTAAACTTCGTGCCTAATATCAATTAAATATTTTTAAATCCCTCGTTAGTATTCTTAAGTATTTTTAATTATTTAAGACCTTGGCTAGATTTCCATCGCAGTAACACTTGATTTTTGTTATGACCGGTTGCTAGTACAATTGTTTATTGTTGACGTGTTGTAGTCGGTCGTCTTGTATTTATAAAAAAATGTATGAGTGTTCAAGGGTACGTATTTTTACTATGCGTGTAAAATAGTCTGATTTGAGATTGTCTATACAAATGATAGAGCTTAAATCGAACGAACAACAACAACAGACTCACATGACTTTGAGAATTTTGACTTTGACTTTGACGTTTAGTTTTCACCGGTAATGATCCAAGACACCTAGCTGTTCACGCTCTTTATCAAATGAGTGTTAGTTTCTTAACCAATTATCCAATATCCACGCAAAACACCTGCCACTGGATAAATAAGCAAATTAAAGTGGTATAACAACCAAGAAAATAAACTAAAATTAAATATTTCTGAAGTATTTTAAAGTATTTTTAGGTTTCATTGATATGACTAATATAACTTGTCAATAAAACTACAGTAAAAAAAATTCTTAAAATTTTACTTATTCGTATTCAGAACAAAGATCTTTTATATGCTGATTTTTAAACTAAAACCCGTTCACTACGAAAAAAAAAGATTCAACACGAGCATTATGCTAAGATTGTTCAGGTTTCTTGCGGGCTTAAATCATCGGATTTGAACAAACGTAGTAGTATTTTGTAATGCAGGAAGCTCTTAGACCTAGTGGTAACCGTTTTTGCTTAAGACATTGGGATCAATCCCAGGCGCTTCTTTAGTACAGAATTCTTTAACTGTACGAATATATTGATATTTTGGCATCGAGTTTTGACGTAGGATTACGTCTTTCGGTAACATATTGGGGGTGCAATTTCAAAAAACCAAAATCGACCGCTTTACGAAAAGTGGTCAGAATTTGACCACTTATAACTCTGCCAATAGCGGATGGATATTAATGCTAAACAAGTTAATCGATTGGAATGCCATCTACAAATCTGCTAAAATTAACACTTTATCAATTTTCAAAAGGTCACTTTTGATAATTGCACGAATGTGCAACTGTTGCTATAATAATGTAAATTATCACCGATTGACTGCGAAATGCGCTTTCCCTAACACAGATTTAAAAATCTTATTCACTCCGGTCACACCGAACGGTGTTTATTCAATCACCGCGTGTGGAGTGGTGGTGTCCAGTGGTCATCATCCGCAGCAACAGCAGTGCTTTCGGCGCGTGGCGTTGTAGGTTGTTCTCTAGTACACGACGAAAGGCTGCCCGCAAGCGCGAGCTGCTGCCCACTGAGCGGTCCATTCACCGAAGAAGGAGGTAGAAGTTGTACCGCTACTGATTGGATTTCAGTTGCCCGTCGTGAGCCGCTGTGGGCCAAGCGCGTCACCATTCCAAACAACATACAGCTCGTCAGCTTCACCTGTGTTGAACACCTTAGTAGATCAGCATTACTTAACCATCACGACAAAACGATCCTTTTCAGGACCATCATAAATTTGTTAAAGAGTATTTTCTGGACACTTGTCAATGTCATCAATCGGATTTCAGTTCCCATAAGTTTAAATCTAACATACCATGTATTTTTAAGGCAACATTGAGTGTGCAATTTCAAAAACCAAAGTCGGTCGTGGCATGAAAGTGGTCTGATTTTGATCCAGAGATGATGGATTTTAATTCTTAATATGCCAATCGATAGGAAATTTTTCTACAAATCTCTTAAAATTGAGGCTTTATCACTTTTCAAAATGTCTATTGCTAATTGCACGCATGTTCAACTGTTGCTATTATAGTTAAAATTATCACCCATTACCTGCTAAAAGCGCTTCCCCAACACAGATTTCAAAATTGAATTCCATCCGGTCTCACCGAACGGTGTACATTCAATCACCGCGTGTGGTGGTGTTCTCCAGTACGCAAAGAAAGGCTCCCCACAAGCAGCTGGCTATCAAGGCTGCCCTCAACCGCTGATCGAATTCAGTTGCTCGTCGTGAGCCGCTGTGGGCCATCTATGCCAAGCGCGTAACCCTTGTTCCAAACAACATACAGCTCGTCAGCCTCATCCGTGTTGAACAGCCAACACAATAGCTCAGCATTACTAAACCATCACGACAGAACGGTCCTTTACAGGATCACCATACATTATTGTTGTTCAAGAGTTAATTTGCATTGAACGTTCGCTCGGCTTGCTGCCAGCATCATCACCCCCAAAGCTCTTTGATAATGTACCCAGCAACCAAACGTTTATGGTAAAATGCATAACACTATTGAAGTGGTACATTTTTTCAGGACGCTGGACATTTTTTCCGGACGTTTTGTTCAGGACGCTGGAAAAAAAGCAAAAAATCGCGAATTTATATGATGGATCGCAAATATCTCGCGAATGGAAAATTTTAGCAAGAAATTCCTCCAATCAATGTTCGCTTTTTTTTATTATCTATGTATAATAATAATATATAATATTATAATGTATATAATTTAATATTGTCATCAGTAAACGAGGCGTTTCCGTCATGGGAAAAGTGGTTTCCCTAACACAGTCGTGTCTTTGATACACAACCTCTTACTTTTTCTTCATTAAAAGATTGATTGGGTCCTCACGTTCCTAAATCGGTTGATTTTACAATATTCTATCCGGGGAAATTTAAAGTATTCAATGTTATCATAATTTTCCATACAAATAATAGATTACGGCTCTGAAGAGCCAAAACCTCCAATGCACCAAAATTTTCACAGATAGAATTTTTTGAAACCAACCAAATTTGGAATATGAGGACCCAAACTATCTTTTGGTGAAGAAAAATTCGATGTACATGAATGTTAATAAATCCGTGACTTCAGAAACGGTGTGCTGGACAAAAAAGACGAAAACCATTCCCCAAAATTTCTCCATATATCGATAGAGTAAATTCAGAATGAAAGCTCAATTTCATCTTGCTATTAAGTGTACCCGCATACCATCTTCAAAGTGATGGCCACTACTTATCATATAAGCAAAACAGAAAAGAAGTCACTCCATTGTATTTTTAACCTGTTCAGAAGACAGCCAGCTCTCCTGATAAGCCTGCATAATAAAAAATACCGTTACCGTACATGATTATCATCATCTATCAAACAAACGCACTCGACTAAAGCTGCTAGTCACTGTTGTTGTCCATTTCACACAGTTCCATTTCAGCACCTCACAGTGAAAGATGCCATCAAACAAGGAGTACATTTTCTATGGTGGTCAGCTGAGATCCAACATTCATTGCGGTCATTCCTCCCTCGGAGCATTGATCATCCAACGTTTGAAAGAACATGGACACGATGTGGCTTTCGTAGGCATTGAAAATATCACGGTCGCATTTTGCGCATATGTAATAAATTGGCCTACTTTGTTTTAGATTGATGCATTATCCGGCCGAACGTTCACCTACCAGCAAGTGCTGGACAAGGCGTTAAGGGTTTCCGATAAGTTGAAGCAATATGGAATCAACAGAAGGTCCATCATTGCCATTATGAGCGAGAATCGTCTCGAATACCCTATCGTCGCATTTGCTGCCATATTTTTGGGAGCCATAATCATGCCGCTAAATCCAAACTATACTCCGACGGAGCTCCAGCATGTTCTGAAACTGACAAATCCTGAAATAATCTTCGCATCCCGCTCAGCTTTAGGCACACTTCGGAAGATCAAATCACAATATCCGTTTATTAAGCTACTGATTTCGCTTGATGACACCAGCTCCGATTCCGAGGGGATAAAACCCTTCCACGACTTTCAGAAGCATTCCACTAGTTCGTTGATCACTCCCGAGCCGGTGATCCTTAAGAACGACGTCACCTTGATGGTGCTCTCATCCGGAACCACTGGGCTACCGAAGGCCGTCCAGTTAACTCACTTCAACGTTATGACCGTGGTGGCCTACATGCGTGAAGATCCCCGCTACACCGATTTACCGGTTTCGATTCGGCTGCTAGGCCTCCTTCCGTTCTATCACGTCTACGGATTCATGCTAATGTTAAACGTGTGCTGTAATCGCTACTCGATGGTGGTACTTCCTCGCTTTGAACCGGAATTGTTCTTGCGAAGCATCCAAGACCACCGGGTTACGATGGCCAACCTGGTACCACCATTGGTAGTCTTCCTGGCCAAACATCCAGCTGTTGATCGGTACGATATGAGTTCGCTACGAGCGGTACTTTGCGGAGCAGCACCGCTTAGTAGGGACATCGAGTTACAAGTGATTCGTAGACTACCTCACATTAAGACAATCCGTGTCGCGTACGGGATGAGTGAGGCGTCCTTAGGAGTGATATCAAAGGTCAACGATAAAATCGGAACCGTGGGGCGGGTTCATAAAACTAGCTGGGTGAAGGTTGTTGACACTCAGAGCGGTCAAATCCTAGGGCCTTATCAGATCGGTGAAATCTGTATAAAGGGTCCATTGGTTATGAAAGGGTATTTTAGAAACAAACAAGCTACACAGGAGACAATCGATGCTGAGGGCTGGTTACACAGTGGAGATACCGGATACTTTGATGACGAAGGTGACTTCTTCATCGTTGATAGGATCAAGGATTTGATCAAGTATAAAGGTTTCCAGGTGGCACCGGCTGAAGTGGAAGACGTTCTGCTGAGTCACCCGAAGGTGCGAGATGCAGCCGTGGTAGGTATTCCTAGGGAGGATAGTGGAGAACTGCCAACCGCGTTCGTAGTTCTACAGGATGGAGAAAAGTTTTCTGAAATCGAAATCCAAGAACATGTAGCTTCCAAGTTGTCACCACAAAAGCACCTCCGAGGGGGTGTATACTTCGTAGAAGAGATACCGAAGACTGGAAGCGGTAAGATACTTCGCCGTGAGCTACGGGATCGCCTTTCTGGGAACGCAAAATCGAAACTGTGAACGATTATGATGTAACTACGACTTAATCGGTTGAAAAAGTAACGAATAAAACCTGTATACAAATGTTGAACCAACATACAAACACTTGCTCGGCTTTCACCTTTTTCAAAGGATCAACAACCATGTTGAAACCGCGCGAAACAAAAACAAACCCCCCTCCCCAGGCCGCTGCTCGGGATATCTCCGTATCTTAAAGTCCTCTCTCACCGCTTTTATTTTCTCGCTATAAAGGCCGCAAAAAACGCCACCAGCGACCGGAACGACTTACTCAAAAGACAAACTTTTTACCACCGGAGATTACCTACCTTCTTCGGAGGTGTCTTGTATGTGTGTATGTGTTGTTGCTGCCTGGCGAAAAAGGAAATGAAACGCTTATTGAGATGCTATCGATTGTTTATCTCCCTGCACTCATCTTCCGTCGGGTGGTGTGAATTGTATTCGAGGAAGTTGGGTAGTTTGGATCGAAGCTGGGGAAAATAAAGAAACGTGCTGAAAATGGTGTCAATTTGCCAGCTCAAGTTGACTATTATCATGGGGCTCTTATCGCTGCCACACTGATGGCTGCCATCAGTGGAGGTGTGATGTTGATACCGGGTGCTAGAAATTGAATAATTGTATAAATATTACAGAACTTTTCCGGCTATTATTGATGTTAAGCATAATTCTTCAAGAACATGATGCAGAGAAAAGCACCTTGACCGCTTTAATGTACTCGTGTTAAATGCAAATGCATCGTCATTCTCGTTGGGTCATCAAACTACAGCTATGTAGGTGTATGCATCAATTCTGCGTGTGTATTAACTTATCGTTAGAACGTGATGCTTTTGAAAATTGCAAACTTCTTTTTTATATATTAATTTATTTGTACAGGCTCAATCGAATAAACTTTACAGAGCCAAGTTATCATTTGCGTTATACATAATTAATTTCTTTAATCTAGGGTTTTGAGTCTGTACAAATAAAGTTATTGATAAAAAAAAATAAGATCTAGAGTTAAAGGAATTGAAGCGATTACTCGCGGTCGTCTTGAGTATAGTAGAGATTTACAGTTGGATGGGGAGGGAGAAGGTGGTTTGAGTTATGATGTACGATACAAATATTTCATTATTCCTAACACATGAACTTATTCCTATTCAATTTGGTATTAGCAGTATAATTATACAATTATTACAGAAACAAATATTAAAAAACACACGAACAAAACAAAAACTAAACACAATGTTAGTCAGAGAACAATATAAAATCAGATCCCAAAACGTTCTTTAACTTCGCGAACGAAAAAATGAAGTCATGTACATTCCCATCACGCATGCAGTTTGAAGAGTGTGATAGCACTGATAGTGAGGATATTTGTAACCTATTTGCTCGTTTTTTCCAAAACACATATAAGAAATCCAGTAATGCTCTCGATTTGAACTATTTTTCTTACCTACATGAAGGGGAAAATGACGTATCAGTTAAAAATATCACTGTTAAAGAAATTTTTATGACTTTTGAAAGTCTCGATGCTGACAAAGGACCTGGACCTCCATTTTTATTGAAAAAAATAGCAACAAGTTTTGTTAAACCATTGTTTTGGCTTTACAATTTATCTCTCAAAACAGGTGATTTTCCGAAAATTTGGAAGAAATCATTTTTAGTTCCAATATTTAAATCTGGCAAACGGTCAGATATTAAAAACTATAGAGGTATTGCAATTATGTCATGCATTCCTAAAATGTTTGAAGCAATTGTTAACCAGAAAATATTTAACCAGGTTAAGCATCGCATTTCAAATAATCAACATGGTTTTTTTAAAGGTCGGTCAACGTCTACTAATCTGTTGGAATTTGTAAACTTTTCTATTGAAGCAATGGATAGAGGTAATACCGTTGAAACCTTATACACTGACTTTAGTAAGGCCTTTGACAGAGTAGACATTCCCTTACTTCTTTTTAAATTAAAACGTTTAGGTATGACAAGTACACTTTTAAAATGGATTGGATCATACTTGACAGAAAGAACACAGATGGTCCGCTTTAAAGGAAAAATATCTTCGCCAGTTAATGTTACCTCGGGAGTTCCACAGGGATCTCATTTAGGTCCTTTATTATTTATTTTATTTGTGGATGACGTGAAGTTTGTGTTAAATCATTTAAACGTGCTCATATATGCTGACGATATGAAACTGTACATGGAAATCTTTGACAATTCTGATTTGCTACATTTAAAAAATGAAATTGATGTTTTCTACAACTGGTGCGTTAAAAGTCTGCTGGATATTAATGTTAAAAAATGCAATATTATATCATATTCCAGAAAAAACACTACTCTAGATTTTACATGTACTCTAGGTAACCAGCTGGTTGTAAGGTGCGATAAAATTAGGGACTTAGGAGTAATTCTTGACTCGAAGTTGACATTTGTAGATCATGTGAATACCACAATTCACAAAGCAAATAATATGTTGGGATTCATAAAAAGATTTAGTTATCATTTTAAAGACCCATATACCATCAAAACACTTTATATAGCTTACGTGAGATCAATTCTCGAATACTGCAGTGTGGTTTGGGCTCCATACCATGAAACTTATATAAATCGTATGGAATCAGTTCAAAAACAGTTTTTGTTATTTGCTCTTAGGAAACTAGGCTGGACCTCTTTTCCCCTTCCTTCTTATGAGTCCCGTTGCATGTTGATAAACATTGAAACACTTAAGAAACGAAGAGAAATTTCCATGATTTCCTTTGTCAATGATATTATCTCACAACGCGTAAATTCAGAAAAAATATTAGCAAGATTAAATTTTTACGTACCATCACGCATGTTAAGAACTCGAAATGTATTTCAACTGTCACCTCACAGAACGAATTATGGTAAAAATGGACCAATTAATAGAATGATGAGAGTGTATAATAATTATTGTGAGCATATAGATCTAACGATGTCTAAAGATACAGTAAGGAGAACACTAACTGCTAGGATTTCATCTCGTTAAGTTTAAAACAATTTTTATTTTTTTAGATATTTGTATATGCAGTCTACATTTGCTGACAATTTCAAATAAAACGTATGTTTTAAAATAGCATGTAAGGCAACAGCACTATTGTAACACGGTCTACAATGATTGACGACAAATAAATAAATAAATAAATAAATAAATAAACTAACAATCTAAAGGTAAATAATCTTCAAGAGAACATATGGGTCATTCCAGCTCAAGTGGGTACACCACCTGTGGTCGATGTCACCGATTGGAGCCAAACTTGGCCAACACGCTTATTTTGACATTCTGAACAAACGTCATTTTTGATTTTGCTCTACCGTATGCGTGATAATGTTTGCACCATTGAGCAATGTCAAAATTAAAAAAATTCTCAAAAATTTCGTTTTCGAGTTTTTTTTTATTTATTTAAAGGGGGGATATTCCTCTATGATTAACTATGTATGTTAATCATCGACAGAGTTTCCACTTGCTGCAATTACGGCCTCCACACGCTTCCGGAATGCACGGCAGGTTCTAATAATGTAGTCTGGATCCATTTCTCTCCAGGTACGGGTCAATGTTTGTCTGAGACTTGCTGTTCTCGGGTGGCGTTTAGAACAGGCCTTGGCCTTCATCACGCGCCATATTCAGTAATCCAGCGGATTAAGATCGGGGCTGGATGGTGGCCACATATCCTTCGCCCAGAACGGAAGATGTTCCTGCAACCACTTCTGCGTGCGGTTCGAGGTGTGGCACGGAGCCCCATCTTGTTGAAATACAACATTTGGCTTCGGATCGTACTGTTCTTTGATCCACGCAAGAACATACTTACTTAAAATCCCGATGTAGACCTCCGTGTTGACCTTGTCGCCTTCTGGAATGAACACCGGGTCCATTTTTTTTTTGCCATCGGAAGCCACCAATCCAAACACCATAACGCTAGCAGGATGCTTGGTTACATACACGTTCTTGTGCTCTTCGGCCACGTCTTTTACCGGAAGAGAACTAATATACCGGTCGGCTCTGGAATTTGATACGGGATCGACGGTAAACATGCTCTCGTCGGTGAACAGGATTACCGGATTTTTTTCGCTTAAGGAAGTTCAAGATTTCCTTGCATCGTTCGAATCGTAGCTCCCGGATGCGGTTGGTAATCATGTTAGTTTTTTCCGTACCCTCGACTTCGCCCCGCAATATTCCTTTACGATCTTCCGTGCCGTAAAGTCACTGATCCCGTGTTCCTTTGCCATTTTCCTTATTGAACGCACTGGATTCACCCGAATCTTCCTTTTGATAGCAGCGATAACCCTCGGAACCCGAGCTGACCTCGGACGACCTGTGGCCACCTTCACGGATACTTGTCCTTTCTTTTCTCGGTCTAAAACCCTTTTGACGGTCCACCGGGACACTCCCACGGCGATTGAAATGTCTTTTTGCGACATTTTCGCGTGGGACAAATCACGAATACGCTGCCACTTCGTCATGGTGCAACTGTCAAGCTAAGTTAATCATTTTCTTTTATACAAAGCCTACTACGGTATGAGCTATAGGCTACGTGCATGCACAGAAAACCAAGGCATTGTATGCACAGGTGAAACGGGGACCTTATTTATACGATGGTGCAAACATTATCACGCATACGGTAAAGTGCCTAGATCCCTCTCGGCTACAACCCTGGATTTTCGAGATTTTTTAAAATTTTATCTTTCAGAAGAAATTACTCCACAACCAAATAAGCTATTCGTGATCTTAGATCGTCCATTTGAAGTTTTTTTTAATGTAAATTCTTATAAATGTATCCACATTTTGTTTTTGTTGTAGTAGGTACAGTAAACAAACTGATTACCGGCAAAAAATAGCCTATTTTCACCATGGGCAGGATTTTTAATTTCTTAATATTTTGGGCTCTAATTTTCACCACACTTTGGAAAACTCTTCTACTTGATGTGTTTCCAAGGGCGAATGATTTGGAAAAAACAGTTTTTGAGATATGACCAGATGAACAATCAATACAAAACTAACGATTTTAAATTGGCTCACT